CATTTAACTTCACGCGGAAAAAGCGACGCGGTGACTCGCGCAGCGACACGACTGTTCATGCGTTTTGATTTTCAACCGAATCGTATTGAAAAAAATGTTTTCAGCCGAATAATCAATGTATTATACTAGTACTAGAATCTACATTACGCAATGTTTAAAACGTTATCAAAAATAAATGCATGAAATTTAATTAAATTTCGTATCAAACCGTAGCCAACAAGTTTTGCGCGTGTGTTTAAATAAGCGATAGTTTCTTATAATATTTCTCGCGTCGCGTATAAATGTATTAACACATAATTTAATATTTATTTATTAATTAGTTACCTTGTTGATCAAATCCAGTATTCCTGTGATCCTATGAGCCGCTTCTCGTCGTTGTATCTTCTCAAAAAGATCCTCTGCAACAGAATCAGGATTCAGGATGCTTCTACGCAGGAAATCGGGATCAGGGTGATCAGGATGCTTCTTCAGAATTCAGGTCCTTTTAGGATGAAATGCAAAACGCAATCGGTTCGATCGCCAGAGTTGCGAACTATTCCAACGTGATATGACAGGTAAACACCCGTCCTCTGGCCGAACCGAAGCGCAAATGCGTGAAATTGCGAATTACGCGCGGTATTTATATGCTCCGATCAGACTCGAACCCCACCACTCGCAGTCAACCAATGAGCGCGATGCGGCTCGATGCTCTGCACCGCCATGCACCGCTAGCTTTCTATTGAAGTATATAAAACGCGACGCGCAAAATGTTCAGTAATTTTCAGATTTTGATGCTGTGTAGTGTGTGGTTCTCGAGGACAGAGAAGTTGGCATATATTTAAAACGCAATTTTACGATGATAGTGCGTATTTAAAACATAATTCACGTTACTGTAAAGTTCCAAACATTGAAACATATTCTGAATATAGGCTAGAAACTATATTCATATTTATGAAAATTAAATACCAATTTAAACAATTAAATGAATTCATATCGGCTTTTTTCCTGTTAAATAAATAACGTTGATTTTACATTTTTCTATTTTATGATTTTTTATTTACGTCTCTCCATCCTTTGTTCGCATGTAGTATCAATAACGTGTAGAACGATGTGAATAAAAATGAATATTAAGGACGCGATATAAGTAAAATAAAAAATTATTAATTTTCCCTTTACCACTAATTAGTAATTGTTAATTACTACAATAAATTAATTCTTTGAGTAATCGCTGCGACTACATTGGATTGTGACGTCATAAACAAATAATAATACATTAAAGTTTCTAGTATGCCTTTTGTAAATAAAGAAAATTTACTCCTCTTGTCAGCCAGTAAATAATCATAAAAAGCATGTAAAATGCGTTTACTAGCGTTTATTCATTGTGCATGCATAGCCATTTCTATTTCGATCAATCGTTTGTCTTTGTCTGTCTAATGGACCGATAACAAAGAGGTTATATATTTTCTTTGACCGATAATCATGGACATAGGGAAGATTCGAACCAAAAAAATCATAGATATAGGGAAGATTCGAACCAAAAATCGTGGACATTACCGACACGATCGTGGACATTGGCTACATAGTTCAATGTCCACGTTTTGTGGACATAGAGGCGCTTCGAAATAAAATTGCATCTAAATCGCGGGCATGGCCGCTCTCAAAAAAGTTCCGTTGAACCACCCGACCGGTGCGGACGCGTCTCGGTTCGGGTGTTCGTTTTTTGTATATTTTTGAGAAAGTGTTGCCGACTTTGACCGTGCCTCGAATTTCCTTACTGATGTGTGTCCGCGTTTGGCTCGGCTCGTTCGTCCGTCCGGACGCGCGTTAGAGTGGCGTGACGACGTTGCAATCGCAGGCGCCCTGTGTTCGTTCGGGCTTCGCCATTTTTCGCGGGCATTGCATCATTCTTCGTTTACATATTACGACTTTGTTTCGTTTACACATTACGACTTTTGTTACTGGCCTTGACGATTGCCGTTGGAGCGGCTACATGGCCAATAAGAATACAAAGAAGAAGAAGATGGCCGCTCTCATGCTTCTCTCTGCCGAAAGGATAGGAAATTATACCTACTTTCGGTTGGAGCTCGAGTGCATCATCAGAAATTAAAAATGACGTAACTATCTCTGGCAAAATGATGTAAATTGTTACGCAAATTATTTTGTGTTCCTACAAGCGCCTGCATGAGAGCTAAACTGGGATCTAATAAGAACTAAATAGTCGGAACTCTATCAATATATACATAAGATATATATTTCTGGATTTCAAAACGAGTCAAATGTTTAATACAATATATATATATGGTGCAATGAAATAATAGAATTGTTACAAATGAGAAGCGATGACTTGGGAGAAGATGGAATAGAATTTTTTTAATAATTTTTATTTATTGCGGTACCAAAACTGTATTTTTTCTTCTCCTTTGGTGATCGTTTTTCTGATTAAGGTCTGAAGAAACTCGGAGGCGCGTTCCAAAACTCTACTTTATCAACTCCGAGTAAAGGCCATCACACGTATGAAAAATTTAGTCATAATCGTAAGACCGTAAGCAGATCGGCCAATCACAGTTTAGCGTATTAAAATGTGAGATCTTAATCTTGATTGTGATTGGTCGATTTGCTTAAGACCTTACGATTACTATTAAAATGTTTGTAAATGTGTGTGATGGCCTTAACATACAATTGAAAAATAAAATCTATCATAAGTTTCGTGAACGTGAAATATTGCAGTTGTGTCACACGAAAGATTTTTATTAAATAATCAGTTCGCGCAATTGTAGTGTATTATTCGCGAGTTTTACGTGATAGTGTCCTGTGCGAGGGGATATTGAATCATTTCTAAGTGGAAAAGGGGGAGGCCTGAGAGAGGCATTAGGCGCGGAGCAATCCTGAAGTAAATATTATATATTTTCTTATGTAAAATCAATATATATTTTTTCTGTTTATTCTTGAATTGTTATTTTAAAATGAATTAGTTAACAATTTTTTTAATGTTATAAAAATGTATTTTTTAAATCTCTAGAAAAGGTACGTTATTGTTTTTGTAAATATTAACTGAAAAATAAAAAATTGTAATGCTTATAAAAATTAGTATATTTTAAAAATTATATAATTATTTTCAAAGGAATTTTACGTTCAGTAAATACTTTTTTAAATATTGATTCTTTTTCTGTCTCTTCTCTTTTAATTTAGATTCGGTTATATTTTTTTGTTACAGAATCGTAGCGACGTTGCAAATGTAACTCCGCTGTTGCGCATCGGGTCGTTGAATGATGAATTAATGTTTTTATTGAAATAATGGATGTGTGATAATAAATTATTAGTATTTTACAATAAAATGAATAAATCAGAACAGAGTAGGTTACATTAAATTTCCTGTGTGTGCCTCCTTATTATCAAATTTATTGCATACAAATATTGCAGACGGAGGAGAAAAAACTTTCAACACAACCTTGATAGTCATCCTGTGTATAAATAACAGTATGTACAATGTTAATTTTTCAATTTGCAAATATAAGATATAAATTAAAACGACATTTATTTTTGTATTTTTGTATTGAAAAATATGTATAAAAATATATAAAGGTATGTATAAAAATATATTGAATATAGCAATTCAAATATTTTTTCTTCGATGTAAAAATTATATTATTAATTATAATATATTGTATATAACATGCCGTTTCTTCAAATAAGATACTTTTTATATTATACTGTTAAATTATTTTATTCAGAGCAATAACACATGTGTATCAAAGCTGCAATACACATTAAAGTTAAAATAAGTTAAAATCCTGAGACAAAACTCATTCGAAGTACAGCATCATATATATATTACGAAAATGTGTTTGATTCGATCGATCGAACTAAATATTTAGCATGTAAATTCTATACATTTTTTAATGTATTACTCCATCGTCATCGTTATTGCTAATTAAAATAGAATATATTATGCCCTAATCCCTAGTACAGCATACTCGATTCGAAATTACAAATTCCTTTAAACATTTTTTTAATATTAAATATTTATAATTTAAGTATTTGAGCATATCCAAAAATATTTATGCAATCTTAAAGTTTAGATAAATAAAAATTGCAGTAATAATATCTGTAATAAAGTTATAACGAGCAGTATAACAAAATATTAACAAATAAATGTATATGTATTAGAAATGAGATGGAGATCATTATGAACAGTTCTCTTCCATTACATGAGGTATTGATACTCGACGGTTTTTATCATCTCAATTAAATTTTTTTCAATAAAATCAATAATATTACGAATTTTTTTTTCTAATTGCTAACAATATTCATATTTATAAGTACAATTTTACTTAATGAAATTAAATTTGAAATCTAATTAAAAATGCAAATTTCTAATCAACTATTTTATAATAATACCAAAATATCTAAATTGATATAATAATAATTAGAGTATCGTTGATTTCAAATTGACGAACTCTAATGTAACCAGAAACAATATATTGTTTAATATGAGCAATATTGAAATTCGACGATCGAGTATGAGATTTAGATTAAACTGTATCTGTCCTTTCTTTCCAAGCTGTAAAATCCATAACTCCTTTTGTATGAATCGTACAATTTGTCATATCATTCCTGAAAATATTAAATTAAAATATTTTATTATTTAAAATCAACGCACTACTATATAATTAATTAATAATAATAATAATACTATTTGATTATATTCGTGTCATAATCAGTCTGTAAATATAATTTTAATTAATAGAAAAATATTTAAAATTGTTATAATTACAGGAATGGATCTTTTAGAATAAAAGCTCTCGGTTGCATCCATTGTAACCTATCTCCATTACGACATAAAATTTGCGCCATTGTACTTTTTCGTATTTCCTCCAACTGCTTTATCGTAAATGAACCAGACGTATTTCCATTTTCGTACCAATATCTATCACCTGTATATAAAAAATGAATAAAATTTGAAAAGTGTCTTATTTCAAGTTAATTATTCGAACAAACTTATTTTATGCGTAAAATACGTAATAAAGAATGCAAAATCATATATGTTTACCTAAACGAATATTTCGGAACGTCCGCCCTAATAAACAAAGGAACGTTGGTCCAAGTACAGAATCAAATATTGGTGCTTCTGAAAGAGCTCCAGTTACCAAATCTATATCCCCTACATTTCTATAAATTAAACAGAAATACATCATCAGAACATTTTTAGAATATCTTAAACATCTTTTTTTAAACTAAAATTAACAATTATTGTAAAAATCTAAAACAATAGTTTATCTTATTATAAATCACGAAAAAGAAAGAGAAAAATGGAAAAGAGAAAAAAAAGACAAATGCTAAGTTTAATGTAACATAAAAAAATGTAAAAAAAACTCAAATATGGCTCTCTTTATTACTAAATCTCACCCTATATTTCATCTTACTTGTAGACTGCTCGAAGTCTGTCGATAGTATCTTTGGCCACGGTGCCTGTAAGATCCTGAAAATTAGTGAGATCCGGCAAATCGCAGAAACTTCGCCATTTGACATAAGGTGACAAGCCATGATCTCTTCCCTGTTGTATAATCTGTGCGGCATAATCTACGGCCACATCGTTGGTCTTCCCGTCGTGGAAGTATCGGTCCAAGAGTATTTCGTTTAAACCCGGAGGCAGAGGTTTCCTAGAATGTCCCGCTGTCGCGGAAATTAAATCTTGCATCCTAGATCGTCATTAAAACCAAGTTCTCATAGGACAACGTGTCAATATAAATAGTGGCAATATTGCTATACTATATAGTATATCGGAAGATTTAGTAGTGTAGGAAAGATTTTTATTTTTCAACACACAAGAAGAAAAGATTAATTAATGTTATCTCCCCATTAATGTATAAATTAACTCAGAATTATAAACATTGTTCAACTTATTTGTTTTTATGGACATATCTCACAATTTACAAAATTTATTTAAATACATAACATTCGTATGTTTTTTAAAATATTATATGTAGTACACATTTTTAAAAAGTTGTAAAAAAAGTAAAAGTAGACTCGTTCTACAAAACAACACAGTAAAATATAAAATTTAAAAGAATAAACAAAATTTATTTTATTTTCTTCGTATTTCATGTTATTTCCATGTTATAATACAAATAAAGTAATGTATATTTCATGAAATTTAATTTTTGCTTTAAATTTTTAAAAATGATAAAAGTGTAATCTTCATATGAACTCTCTTGTTTAACAAATCAAATAAAAAAGATCCAGAGACCAGGCAAATGAGAGTCAGAGTGGTTAATAATATGCATTAATCCATTAATTTCTTAAATTTTTACTTTGTTTTAAAATATGTAAAAAATTTTATATCAACATATTACGTTTTTTAAATCACGATATCTCATACAATTTAAAAAAAAAAAAAACGTTGTGACTTCAGCTTTCACTAATATTACATTCTTTTCCGCAATGTAATTAAAAAAATTCGCGTGCTATTGTTCACACAACGATGTATGTATTTCGTGAACTTTTATAAGATTACGTTGAAATTGGCACAGTTTTTTCTTGGATAATTAACTTTTATGTTAGATAATGATAGACTATGATTTAAGATGAGTTACTGATGTCTGTGCGTGTATGTGTATGTGTGAAAGATGAGAACTTTTTTTAGCAATCTAATTCTACAACAACGTTTGCTCTCAAAAAAAAAAGAAACGTAAATTATCGTGCGAAAGATTCTTTTTGCCGCATTTCTTTCACACCATTTTTATTAAAATATTATTATAATATCACTGCGTTTCAAGAAAAAGTGAAAGGTAATATTCTATAAAAAAGTCAAGTCAATTTTATGAAAATCAAAGAAGCGTGCATGCACGCGATGTATGACAATAGTAATCACAGTTAAGCAATTATTACCTGGCACAATGGTATTTTTATCGTTATAAATTGTAATGCAATTAGTGTATCGCCTCGCGATTAGAACGTATTACAATACGATAGAAGATCTATTAATTTGCATTAAACGGGTGTATTTCCCTTCACTTAGGATGACTTCCCTTATCTTTTTAACGCTCCGTGAGGAACGTGACAGGTACTGTGCATTGATTTCTATCTTAGGGAGAAGAACAACTGACTTGATTGCCGATATTGTGTAATCTTCTTGAAGCGCAATTTGAATGACATTCAGTCACTTGACACTTACGATGTTGTAAAAGCAAAAGAGTTCACGTTTCAAAGTGAATGCCAGATACAATTCCAATTTATGAACCATAATACGACGGATGAAATCCAAGATGTTAAATAATTGCACATTATGACAGCAATATGACAATGAGTAATTTGAGAAATGCTGTCTAAAACTTTCTATTACAAATAAATTAAATGCGAATATTATGTCTGCATTTAGAAACAAATTATAATAATAATCATATATGTGATGAGATTAATTCAATCACTTTTTAAAGATATGCTATGAAATTGTTTTAAAACGTTTCTTTATGAATTTTCAATTAAAATACGTAAACATTTCCTCACTTATTATCTTTTATATTTGTATATACAGCAATAAATTTTCCTTGCATTTTACAAAAATGTCAAGTCACGTTAGTATTCCGAGTATGTCAAGTAATTCCAACTGACCTGTAGCTCCAACGATCAGTCGGTCGATCGCGCCAGCCTCATACAATTCCTGCGGCGCATAGAAGGCCGACAATAAGGTCCTTTCGCCAGACTTGAGCGCCGATCGTGAGTCGACCAAGTCCAGGGTTTTCGGGGTCAGCGCGGCTACGAAGAAGAGACCAGCCGATGCCGCTGAATTCGAAAGAGTTGCATCCGCACGAATGTCGTAGCCGCGGAAGTAGCCCCGCTGTGTCAAGCGCAAGGAGTATCTTCGCATACGTAACAAAGAGATAAAACGTACGGGAGTACCGTGTATGGATGTGAGTTGCGTCTTGGAAAGTACGGGGGCGGAGATGATGTAATTTCGCGCGTTGCGTCACGTCTTTTGTACGACGTATTGTACAATTCGGAATCATTTAAAAAGAATATCCGAATAAGAGAAAGAATAGAATAAAGTTCGGAGATATACACAACTTGTCACAGTATGCGAATTATAATCACGATTATTGCATAAATCGATTTGGAAGAACTATTATATATGCTGTGTTAATGTAAAAAAAATTATCATTTATAGTTTATATGACATCACGCTACGTGGAAATTGCAAAGAATAAAAAGATAATCTGTTATAAGATTCCGACATGCTATTATGTAAAATATAATTTAATACGCGCGCTTAATATATAATTTAATACATATTGAAAATGGAGTCACGCTTTTTGTAGTATAACACCATCTGATTATCTTCCATCGCATACATCAACTGTTGCGATTAGTTCTTGTAATCTGTCGTATAAGAAGATATGTTAGACGCTAAATGGAGCCATCATAATGTCCGTTCAATGAAATAGTGATATATCAGCGATTAGAAATGATAAAGTCTTCTACGAAATTATTGCAGACTGTTGCAGGTACTGAAGAATATTGTGTAACACAACTCTAAAATACATGTTACTGAAATGCACGTACCGGTGAATATAGAATATTTTCTTTGTCAAACGTGGAACTTTGTTTTTTCAAACGTTTTGAAGGCGGTATTCATATAGATGGTTCTTCCCAGTGGGAAATGAAAATGGAATCGACATCGAATTGACATCGATTTCGACGTCGATTCCATTGTCATTTCTCACTGGGTTATATTTAAGACTGTCTTAGGTACTGTCTTTTTATACTTTACTCCGTAAAGTATAAAAAGTACGAATATATAAATCAACGAAATTTTTTTCAACGGGATCAATATATAGCATTCGTTTGAATCGATATTCACATCGATTCTTATAATTTAAGAATATCTTAAGAAACGTCTTAAAATGCTAATGACTCTATGGCCAGTATTCATAATCGATTCTTATATTTGAGAATGTCTTAAGCATATAATCTTAAGATGTCATAAATCATTCGAAGGGCTGCATTAGCATCTTCTTGTTAGGATATTACTTAAGACGATTTTAAAATAAGAATGGACTATGAATACCGCCTTATGATTGCGGTTTATCTTAAGATATCTTAAGATATTCTCAAATATAAGAGAATCGACTATGAATACTAATTCAAATAATTGTTATAAATTGATCCCGTTAAAAAAATTTTATTAACTTATACTATATATTCGTGTTTTTTTATAAATTAGATATAATACAGGAAATATTATTTACTTGTCGAGGGCATGTTCTCCGAGAATAACAGGCAGAAACTCGTTATAAGTTATATGTTGCAGTTCGGCGATAACAATTCTTCTTGCTTCTTGGTATAGCCTTTCGTCATCCCAATGAGGATTCAAACGTTTCAATTCCACAGCCACTCGGTTGTGCTCTCGTAAGAATAACACGTGCATTAAAGTGAGACCTGGATTCTCGTTTACTCTGGAATCGCCGCTAAAGAAACATGGAAATGCCTTGTTTGTGCTTCTACAACTCTCATATTTCGGCGAAGCCATCGGCAAGTTTTTTCTCTGCGTATTTAGCAAACCGTTTTCACCTGACCGTAAAGCTCTAGCTGTTTCTTCGGAACTACCGTAAAGGGGTGACAGATCCAAATAAGAAGATGCCTGATTGATCTGTTGTCGCGGACCCAATTTGCAACCCTGTATCAAACAACATCTAACGTATAAATGAATCTCTTCCTGTAATTTAATAAAAAATTATTCAAAACTTTACCAAGAACTCTAGAACTTTAGAAGGAATTAAAATTCAATAGTAATTACATCGAAAAATGATTAATTTTATACAAGTTATATAATTTCTTTAGAATTTCTATATACTTAGAAGAAATACTCATTTTGCGAACTCATTATAGAATGCTTTAAAAAATCGATTTGCAACAAAAATATGAAATTTTTTTTACTTTTACGATGAACATCGTTAATTTATACATTCAAGTTTCATAAGTAACCAGTTTTTCTTATTCTTATATTATATTCTTAGTACTATACGTATAAGGTATTATTAACTTTCAAATTTATACTAATGACAATATAATCCTCATGTGCATCTTAAAAGGCTTTGCCTAGACCGAAGTTCTTGCATAACAATATGAAGAAATCATAGACACATTTCTAAGAGATTTCTCAAACATTATATAAGATTTTATTCATATATATATAAATTACCTGTAACGAATTCCCTGGATGCGGTGCTGATCTCGAATATTCCATACATCCGATTGGCTGCTCCGCACGGATCGGGAAGCACTCCGGATGAAAATTTTCATAATCAACGTCACAACACTTGAGCCTGGCGCGGTCCGGTAATTCCATTCTAGGCGTATGCGCCAAATCGTGAGCAAGAAATTGACTGAACAGCGCGGTAAGCGCCATTAAATAAGGATGCTTAAGGTCCAATCCACCGGCATGTACCTGCGAGGAGACTTCTCTCGCGCTCGGTAAATTTGTACGGGGCAAAGAGACCCCATCTTCATACTCCGGCGGCAAGAATCTCACGTAAGCCTCCAGCGCTGCGCCCCAAGTCGGATGCAATGGATTATTGCATCGACCCGTGTGTGTCCTGTAACGGACATCTGATTTCTTGCATTCGGACACTAGTCGTAGGAAGCTGGGTGAGTCCGGACAAAGGACGGCAGCTACCGTTGGCAAGACTAAGGATGCCTGTTTCGATGACATATTGAGCGCTTCCACGAGCATCACTGCCATCGTTTCGATTCGCAGGGCCTTCCTCGAGAGATTTTGTGCGCCCTCGGTCATCTCGTGAGATGCGCCAAGGAACCAAGACGGCGAGCCTCGATTGAGTTGCGTCCGGGAATTCATGATTGTTTGTTCCGCCTCGCTGTACCTCTCCATAGAGAGATTCGTGCGCTTATCCAGATCGTGCAGCATCCTGGGTGGCAAGGTCGTAGCTCCAACGAGTGTCGTTAGAGCAAGGAATCTGCGGATCGTAATCTAAAGATAGAAAACACCCACTTATCCATGCATAGCTTATAATGCAACGCTATAAGTGCCATCTTGGCATACATCAGTTATAACGCCTTCGAATGGAGATGAATTCTTGAATGTGCGAAATGCACTTACATTCTGCACAGTGCAGCACCGTTATTACCCAATAATCGTTATGCAAATTCGATGGTTGTATTATTATCTAACTCAGCGATGATGAGATACAATCAATCATTGAAAGCGCAATTATATATGGGGATTGGACATTGCGGACGCGACCATATATTTGCACATCCGTATTGCAAATAAACTGAGATATATTGACAGATACACATTTGTTGTATTATATATATCTGTTACGAAACTCAGGCTTCGAAAGGCTCTGCGGTGATCTCTATTGACCCAGACTATTGTAATCGCTGTTTGCGCTTTAATTACATTAAATTTTTGATAAGATCTCATTAAAGTTACGTACGTACATGAACCTATGTGATTTATGCTAATGTATAATAAGATTTAAGAGCAAGCGAGATTCTATCGTAATTTACTCGATGTGACAGCGGAACTGATATACGTGTGATATTATAGAGATTAGAAACACACGTTTCGTAATTTATCGTGTTAATCACAATGAACTCTGGAGACCTTGTCGACGCGATGGCATTTCACCCCGTTACATTACAAGCATTATTCATTGCGCGCGTTTACCGTAACAAATTCATTCATCAACACGGGTATATATCTAACTCGTGTGCTAGTTTCTCAATTGGGACTGTGTCACTTTTATGCCTTTATGGCGCAGCATATGGTCAGGCAGACCTTAAAAGAAGGTCGAATGAGGCTGACATTTAAGAAATCCTTCCTGGTTCTTTTACGATCGTTTTGCGTAATGTTCTTTATTCCCATGATTAGCGTTCGCGTGAATCGATGGAAACAATCTCCTTGACACGCAAATCGATCACTCTCGACCAATTATCTTTAAACTGTTAATCCTTACTGACCCGGAACTTCGATGTTGTTGGAACACGAGCATGCACTTTGCGAAAGCAAGGAAGATCTACGTTGACTTGAAGAACCGATAGAATCAACAAAGTAAATTACGTACAATTACATTGTATTAAAGAATTATTTGCGTGATGCATCTTTCTGTAAAATGTCCAAGTATTATATATAGAGATTATTAAGTATATCATTTCTGAATAGAGCGCCGTAGTTCTTAATTTTTTAATAGAACTTAGAAATTTTTATAGAATTAAATAAAAAGAGAGGAATGTGATTACCTTTTTATGTTGAGTCCAAAAATTGATTTGTCATTGTCTTTAAATCCCAGTTTTTGCCTCAGAAATATTATTTTTAATATTTGTTAAAATATTTGCTCTGGTTATATTGTTGTAACTATTTGTAAAGACTGCACAATAATCTTTGAATATTATATATGTAATCTAAAAAAGATTTTCTAAATTTAAGTAATATTTTTTTAAATAGTACCTACAATAAGTATAAAACATTCTCTCCTTTTACTGCAAATAAATTTATTTAAAGCAAAAAATAAATCAAATAATATATGTTTACGTTTAGTAAATATTTATTTGCAATAAGAAAATATTTACTTAGTATTATTCAAGAAAATTTTTTTCAGTGTGTGATACGCATATTTTTTTTCTCATACCTACTCAGAAAACTGGAAAATCATAATTAACATTTATAATTTTGACACAAATCATTATTTTAAAATAATATTCATTATCAAATAATTAATCAGAAATTGTGTAATTTTAGGAGACGTTCTTTTGAAAGATGTCACATACAAAAAAAATAAACATATAAGATACAAATCTCTTCTGATACAATATATATACGATCGAGGTATGTTCATGCTTTATATATGCAATAAATAAGTTATAATAATTATAAAACAATTAGTTTCGCCCACGCACAAGTCGATTTGTGCAGATTTGAATAAGTCCGCGCGATATAATCGTTAACCTTTGATGAAGTAACGAGCTGAGAGAAACGTACTAACTATGAATATAAATCGTTGTGCCAAGACTTCAACACGTTCGCATTCGCAAAGTTTCATAACGCTGCCGTTTCACTGTTTACGATCGTTGGGTTAGAACGTATGAGCTAATTATCCGATATGTAACAACCCACACTTAATCAATCCTTCTTCCCCTGTTTTGAAACGGGTAATTCTTATAGAATTTATACTGAGAAAAAGACTCAATTACATAAGTATTGTTTCTGTGTTTACATGCGCTCTCATATTTTACATGACACAGAAAAAGTTTGCTCTTCTTTACTTTCTTCTTCTCACTTCTTTTAACAATGATGAATTGATGCAATCAAACAAAATAATTTACAATACTTATGATTAAATTTTACATTTATCATACGTATATACATTTCAATTATTCGTTATATATTAACTCTCAATTGCATATTTAATTAATTAATCGGATTTCTAAAATATATTTCTTTGTAAAAATTATCTATTTTTATTAATCGTACATTTATTAGTACCTGATATTTAATAATGCAAAAATAAATTGTTTAAGTTATAAATTTGTAATTAATTTCGCTATTTAGATTTCGATACACGCATGCAAAGAATTGTTTGCAAACGTTGAAAAAATATTTGCAATTAGAATACATATTATTGTATATAATATCAAATTAATATCGCACAATATAAATTTAAACAAATAGCATTGAACTTTTTTATTTGTCATATTTATATATTAAAAATAATACGAAAAGGTAATATTCACCGCGATACGAAGATGAATGAGCTACTGGTAGCGATGTTTTTAGTAGGGATCAACATCTTTCCGAGGATAATACGCTACGATATCCTCGTAACGTAGGGATCACTCCAGGAAGGATTAAGTATCCTTAATACACGATAGCATTCATCTGCTTCGAATGGTTTCACAAGAACACGCGCGAGAGCGGCGTGCGCGGGTATACGCGCAGCGGTAAACCTGAACTGAGAATGATGCTTCGAACGAAAGTAAAACTCTAGTCTATCCCGTTCGATCTATCCTGGAGTGGGGTTTAACCAGGATCGCAGCAATGCACGTGCATCAGGTGGTGTACGGTGCATCGAAGTATAACACGTACACGATTGGTAAAAGTGCATCGCTGCAGCAATAGCGACTGCTGCGGATTAGTATTACGAACGGGACCAAGGTTCACCTTTCCTCGGCTACGTTATTGGGAATCGCGGTTGAAGGTGCCGTTTCAAGGTCGAATATTCCGTTCGCACCTTCATGCATACGATGCGGTATGCGTGGACCCTCGCATGTGTTCTTTTGTATGTTATAATAGGCATCGCAGCGCCATTGCACTATGCTAATTGGACGCACTTGCAATGGGCTTGACTACAATGTCGTTCACGGATTAAAATTCCTTGAGATGACACCATTTGTGATTTGTTAAGATAATGAAGAATCACACTCGTCTCTTCATTTATTGCTTTCTTTGTATAAATCGATGGAATTAGCATTGGTAATAAATGATGGTATGTCACGCGTGGAATGACCGCATTCTTTTTTTTTATTCAAATCAGAGTTTTTAAACGTTCTCGATTAAAAGTAAATTCAAGTTTGCTGAAATAGTATAATATAATTTAATAACAAATTATAGTTACAATATTAAAATTTAACTACAGGATTATGCCAACTATATAGTAAATAAATAGACTTTTTGAAACAATGAACACTTATTTATGTCCACTCTTAGTACGGTTATACATATTTTATTTCTCATTTCAATAATCTTATTATGTTGTACAGAAGTTTATCATTTGTTGTATTAGCTATAATTGTATGTTAAGTTAATTTACAAGATTATATTTTAAGGGCGTACTTCATCTGTATTATCAAGAACTGCACCACTGTAGGCTAAATCCCAATAATGTTCCACTTGATGTTTCTTAAAATGTTCCCGAGCCATTTTTTCAATTGGGCACACTTTAAACTTAATTTCTCCAAAATGGCGCTGTTTACTTGTACCTTCCCAAACAAGTACACATCTGTTTGGCACATCATTCCCGTCATTATCCTTCACTATATCTTCTTCCCACTTGATACGATGCATCATCAGTCGTTTGTACTTAGCTTGTTGTTTTGCTCCACCTTCCACTACAACAACATTGCAATCTCGGAACAGCATTACACAGCCAGTAAGATAAAGCTGTTTCGCGTTAGTCTCCACTTTGAATTTCTTTGAAGCATTATTGACAAGATCGCGAATTCTGTAAAAAAAAAGGTATCGTGTTATGTTTATGGTTATACTATACAAAATTATATGTATACATAACGTTTACCTATAAACAGCAACATATACACCAAGACTAGTATCTTCTTTAAGCTTCCTCGCCTTTTTTTCGCGACGCTGATCAGCAGTAAGTCTTCGTGCTGCATTTGCATCCTCGTGAGCTTTCAATCTTTTAGCCATTTGTTGTCGAACATGAGCTTCAATTTTAGTAGGATCTTGTACAGCTTCAGTCCCCAAAACTCGCATGAGATTTGAGATCCGCAACTTTGGCTCAGGTGGTGCTTCTAAACCTAATCGAATTTTTTCTTGCTCTTCCTTCCAAGTTTCTCGTCTATTTTGTCTTCTTAATTTCTTACGTTCTTTTTTTGTGAGAAATACAGGCATATATATTGGTTTCAAAGGATCCGCTACAAAACAAAATAATCACAGAAAACAATATGAATATATATATTCAATTTTATATAGACATATACACATCACACAATACATACTTGGAGGTCGCATTTGTGTTGGATGCTCTACTAAATTTGTAATAGTCAAACTTTTGATTGTTGTTAACTCATTTTCATTAGGATATCCACTGGTTAATATAACAGAATCCCACCATTCTATATTAGGCACATCTTCACTAAGAGCTTCAGTTTTAGGTGCGATAAGAGCTAATTTAGTCGCTGAACTGATTCCAGTTTTTCTAGCAATTTGACTAATTTCATTTTGTAATTTTTCTAATTGCGTCTTCATACGCATTCTTTCTGCTAATTGTTGAAATTTTCCTGGTTCGTGAAATTTTAACGCACGTTTACCTCGCATAGCTGGTTTAACGCCTATTCTATTATCAAAAAAATGAGTATCTTGTATTTCTTCTGGACCTTTTGATTCTTGTAGTTGAGCTTTGAATTCTTCTCTTTTCTTTGCACGTATATTAGCTTTTAATGTAGGTACTACTTGAGTAAGTTGCACTTCTTTGCCTGTTATATCTACTGTTCTGCCAGATTCATCCAAAATTAAAGGAGTCGGTTTGTCTGGTACATTAACATTGCCAAGTAATCCTGAGTTTAACTTGTTTCTGATCTGTGCTTGCAACGCAGCTATTTTTCGTGCTTTGTCTGAATCCGTTTTACTCAATAGGCCTTGATTATACATGCTTCCTACTGTTGGTAGGATATCACGTCCTTTAAAGGGCTTTACAGAAACATCTTCCTGCTTTATTGCCTTTAAAGCTCTTTTCCTTTCTTCTATTTCTCTTTGTGCATTAGCCATCATTTGTCTTATCTAAAAAAATAAAAAAGAATTAAGCTTATAGTACTGAAATATTTAAACTGTTTAAAGATATATATGTGTAGAATTCTAATACCTTATCTGCAGAAAGTTGAGTTTCTATAGGTTTTTCATTTTTCGTTTCATCATCTTTAAATCTCGATTTTTTTGCATCTTTGTCTTTGTCTTTATCTTCAGAATGAGATCGTTTCTTACTTTTTTGAGATGATTTAGTATCATCATATATCGTAAATATCTTTTCTGTCAACTTAGAAGCTTTTTTATCTTCTAATAAAGCTGATAATTTATCTGCAAAAAAATTTTATTACATATTATATAGAATTATATATATTTTGAAATATATATATATGTGTATATTAAGAGTATATAATAATATAAGTATATTTAAAATATACATATGAATTGTAGGTAATACACATATACTATACAGTTTATTTTAATATGTTCCATGTTGTGAGAATTGCAAGGAAAGTGTTTACAACTTTACAGTGTGCCATAGGAGTTACTACTGACTCATGATATTCTTATTTGTATTTATACTTGTTAAGAAAACTGTATTTGAGAGATAACGTAATATTTCATTAAAAATTATGAAAATAATAACTTTAATAAAGAATGGTCTGAATAAAAAGACACAGAACATATCAAATACTAATGATAAAAATTGTAGAAAATAAGTATCGTAGTAAATAAATCGACGTATTTTCTATTGCTAACCTGCTGTTTTACGTTTGTCATAACCAGAAGTGATGCAGTTGACAGCTGCAGTAACAATAGCTGGTTCACTAAAGCCAAGGAATTTATGAACCGCTTTCTCGATCTGTGGCTTCATTTCATCTATTTCTTTCCTCGTTAAATAAGACATGTTTTTAACTTTATTTCACTCGCTGAATATTTAAGGAAGTTTACTTATTTTGTGATAAAATTGATATTCTTACAATATAAGCATTCTACAAACATTGAGGTTAAAATGCTCCGAATTGCTCCGAATACTCCTTACCATGCAGTACGACTTAACATTGAACACATTCAACAAAGATGCTCACAGTTGTGTGCTAAGCAGTACCACAGTACCAGAGACTATAGAACAGAGAATAGAGAGAAACTGGATCGAGAAATGTATAGCCAGTTAACTAGCTATTTTTCTGTAAAAACTACATGTTATTAAATTCAGTTAAATTGGTTATACACATTCCTGAATCCGAGAACTCGGATCGAATTCTACTTTGGAGTACATAGGACTTTACCACACTTTACGGAAGTTTATGTGACAATATTAAAAATAATAATATAGTTCTATCATTTATTTTTATTATTTTCATTAATGTATATATATTATATATTATATATTTAAAACTCATATAATAATTGACTTTTATTTAAATAAACTGTGATTTCAATGTTATCGTCCGAGTATAATTATTAATAGAGATGATGACTCTACAGAACAAAATTGTAATTTTGTGCCAATATATAAAATATTGTAGCATTAATAGTATGCATACTTATTTATGTATAAATAATAAAAAAATCATGATTTTAACAATGTTTTTAGCCATTATAGCCATTGATGTTAATAATCGCAAATTTATATCAATTGTCGATAATGTCAACGTCCTTCAATTATCTTCGGGTTCTTGGGGCCTTTTTTGTGAAGAAAATTTGCCGGTGGCTCTTATTGGCACGGACGCGCATCATATCCCTTTTCGGTATTAGAATTTTATTGGCAGTTTAGCAAAATAGACATGGTATTTATTTTTCATATCACAAAAATGAACGTTGTGCATTTTGGTATACGAATCATACAAAAAAGGCCGAGATGGCCATCAGATTTTTCTCTGACCAATCATAAAGGTGCTTAGAGCGGGAGCACAGAAGCTGCTATTCGTAGTCGGTTCTCATTTTAAAACCATCTTAAATAATATTTAAAAATGCTAATGTGGCTCTCTAACTGGTTTATAATATTTTATTGTTTTAACGACAGTTTCAAACACAAAATTCAGTTATGAATATCGATCTTAAAATAAAAAATAGACTATGAATATCGGCCTTAAAATAAAAATGGACTATGAATACCGGCCATAATGACTTTATTGGAGCTGTTTAGTAGCGCCTCTATGCGTACAAAACGTGCACTACATAACTACAAATATTTCCGGCGGGTAACACATCGACGGTTAATTCCTACAAATGTTTCAATCTAAAACTGTTATACACTTTTTGCAACTTTATATGCATGTGTGTATATTAATGTTAAACTGTGTGACA